CCCAGCTTACGTTCTTGTCTACCCCCGCCCCACCTTTTTATCAGCTATCATTTTGCGACTGCTGAGAGAGTCTGTCACTCACTTTGGACTATTTTTCTTTGTCATTCTCCTCCTCCTTCTTTTTAATGGGCCGCTGCTGAACAACTTCCTACACGACCTAATCACCAATGTAGCTTGTGTTCATTTTACATCCCTTAATATTCAGATCAAAGCATTCCTGTCGCACTCAGCCTTTGCAACATTCAGCACAAAAAGGTTAATAGTTGAAGGTCACCAGTCCTCTTCTCTCAGCGTCTTGTCCGCTTCCATAGCTACTAATAGTAAAATGTCCATCTGGTGTTGGGGGGGAAGGAAGGTTGAGTTTGTGTGGTTGGAGTGCTGAACGCTGTTTGTGTGCCGAGCAGATGTTTCTTTTTCTTTTTTTCAAAAAGGGGGGTTTGGAGCAGCAAGAGAAGTGCACCTGTTGGGCTTGTCACCATCTGCTAGTCCAAATGTTAAAAAGCCACACCCTTGGACGGCCAGCTGAAGAGAACTTAATCTTCTCCCCCCGCAGGCTTCAAAAACCGGAGCTGCCGATTGCATCTTACAATAGAGGGAAGTCACACACAAAGACGCACACTGACTGAACTAGGCCTCAGGGGGGGAACCTAATCCCTCTATCATTGTAGGGTTTTTGTTTCTTTTGCAGACAACAAGGGGGCTCTTTAAATAAACCCCGATAGCTATTACCTGATAGGGAAGCATGTTATAGACTGCTATTAAAAAAGAGGAAAAAGTATTAGGTTAACATGGATACTCATATTAAGTACATTGGACTGTGGGGCAATTTTGCCTCCCTGCCTCCAACTGTTTAGTGAAGTGGCAATACACCCAAAGGTGTCCCTACATTATCCCTGGCTAAACAGAGATGGCTTGCAAGCTGGAAAATGGAGGTGCTTGGTTTCAGAGGTGGAGATGGCTCAGTTTTTTTGTTTTTGTTCTTTTAAAGCAGTGGCTATGGCTTTTTCTGATAAACAATTATGTGACTGTTTAGCACGGCTCAAAGCAGTTCATGCCTCAATGCCCTCTAAGAAAGGCGTGCCATCTGAAACCCGCCACTGAAAATACATAGAAATGGCTTTCTCTCACCTAGGAATGGACAGATCTGACCATCTCAGTTCTCTCAGTTCTTCATTCTTCCCACCTTAAAGTCAATTTGTGTTTGTCTTTTAAAAAACAATGATCAGGAAAGTTTGTCAGCATTTTAGTTCAGACTTCACGTTGTAAATACATGTCTGCATGCATTTGAAATCTATGCATTTTTGCAAGGCGTTTTCCCCAATATAAGACAATTGTGTGTGTTATTTTTCCGCCATTTTATTCATTTTATGCACATTTTGCTCATATATATATGTTTGTACATATTTCTTGGCTGGAGAACTGCATCACAAAATTCAGAGAAGTGCAAATTTCAAAGATGTTTGAGTTTCAGCTCTTGTATTAGTGCAAATTGGGTAGTTTACTCCTTAAAATGCAATCAAAATCAAACTTCTTCCCCATCCCTAATCACATCTAACAAGTTCTCCACTAAAAGCATGCAAGTCCCAGAACATGCAAAAAAAAATGGGGATATTTTTCAGAGTATGCTTAACTTCTTGTAGATCATCTTTACTCTGGCATCTTAACAACCAGTTCCCACACCTCATAAGAAGGATATGTTGGATTCCCCATCCAGCTGCTAAAGCAAAGGCACTTGAAATGAACTGATGCTGGTTTTGCTGCCCTCAGTTAACACTATCATTTCCTTATTCAGATGTTCTCTTTCCATTGTCTATATGTCTGGTAGACTCCACAAGGTGGCTTAGAACAAAATGCTAAAACACATAAACTGAAACAAAACACAAAAGAAGATTGAAACGGCAGGAAGAAGAACAGCAACAGCTCAGAAAAGGCATAAGAACATGAGTCACATCCATGCTATACATAGCTTCCCCCCAAAGAATCCTGGGAGCTGTAGTTCATCCTTCACAGCTACAATTCCCAGCCCCCTTCACAAACTACAGTTCTCAGGTTTCTTTGAGGGAAGCCAGGTGCTTTCAATGTATGATGTGGGTTGCAAGATTTGCAAATGTGTCCCGTCCCCTCCGCTTAATGTTTTGTTCTCCAAGCTCAGTTGTGATACCAGAAAAAAAATGTAGGGGACAAAGTATATTTCTAGGTGGATGACAAAGAAAAATAACATCATGGGGTTCAGGGATGGAGGGAAGCAAGTGGGGCAAGCTCTTTGACTGAGGGACACTTGCCCCCCTGCTCCTCTTCTGGTTCTGCCTAAGGCCAAGCTAAAGAGTTACATTAATATCATGGTTGGATATAAGTTGCAGGAGTCAAATAGCACTTTGCATGACTGGGCTGTATGGTGGAATTTTTGCACGTGCACCCACCCACCCACCCCAAAAGGAGGGTGAAGAAAGCTTTGTTGCTTGCAACACGTATTCAATTTTATCTTGAAGGGCAAAGCACTGGCAAATTCACAGCCAAATGATTGGCTTGCCCTGGAAGGAATTATTCCTTTTCCATCTTTCTTCCCTTTCACCAAGGCTATCTGAAAGCAAACAGTGGGCAGAAGTATATTAAATTACCGCAGAGAAATCCAAATTTAACAGAAGTTTAAATATTAAAATATATAAATTACAACTTCGCTCTTTAAATATGCGCACGATAATCCAGAACAAATGTTATAAAAGGCTCTTCTGTTATAAACCACTTGTAAGTGGAGAAATGTCCCTGTCTCCTCCTCACTCGTACTTTGATACAGGAACATTTTGATTGGTAGTGCAAAATATTTGCTTCAAGAGCTTCCAAGGACACTTCTCTGCTTACTGGTTACAGCGCTTTCCCCTCCTCCACTTCGTTCCAATTTGATAATGACACAATGACGTACATCATCTACATTAAGCTCCTACCAGCTCTTTCTTTTTAAATTCCACCATTATAAACAAACAGGGAAAGTACATGGGCCTGAATTAACACCTTCAAAACCAACCATATTGTGGTCTTTTAAATAACTGGCTTCGCTCCTTGCCTGTGGCAATATGTGGCTTATAAACTTGAGATGTTTTACCTTTAGGCGGTCAGCAATTGCTTTCAAAACATTAGCGGGGGCAGCATATGGTGCCACGATGTGGCCTTGAAAATGTACTAAAGGTATACATTTCCTGCCTTGATGGTACAAGCTCTACTTTTAAATAAAACATTCTATCATATGGCTTAGGCTTTAAGCTTGGTAAGAGAAATTGCTGACTGACTGGTCATTTCCATTCCAAGAAAAAATATTAAGGACATTTACATATGCATTTAGAGATCCACACTCTGGAAATGTGCAGTTATGATTCCCCCCTCAGCATATTTAAAGAATTTTAAAGATCATATGGAACCCCTACCCCTCCACCACCCCTCTTACACATTTTTCTAGCTGCTGATACCCACAGGGTTATATCAAAATATTTCTTATCATGGACGATAATGTGGAATTTAGATCAAATGCTTGGGAGAAGGGTTTTGCTACTGTTGTTTAGGATCCTTTTAAAGATTTATTTATTGCAAGGCACCACAGGATGAAACCTTTTTATGAGCACATTCCCATGTAGACAGGTATATATCAACAGCGCCTCGATGCATGTTTAAATAGCACATCGAGTGGCTGTGAGATCTAGCCCATGAAACAAGCTTACTTGAACCCCTTCTCTGCCCTCCACCAATTTAATCCAGGCATGGTAAAAAAGAAAAAAGTTAAATTCACAGGAGGAATTAAAATGGTTTCAAAAGTTATGGGAACTCCCATCAGCCCCAGCAAGTATGATCAATGGCAAGGGATGAAGGGAGTTATATTTCAGCAACATCTGGATCAATAAAGGTTCCTCACACCTGCTTTAGAGCTTGAGCTTTAGGAGAGTGATTATGGATCAGAACTTGAGGAGCAGAATGTTCAAAAGCTAACCATGTTCTTAGAATCTAATTCTGGGCATGCAAGAAGCCAATCACAACAAGAAAGTTTTACCCTTGTGATACCTGTTAAATGTTAGGCTCCATATAAAGGTAAAGGTAAAGGGACCCCTGACCATTAGGTCCAGTCATGACCGATTCTGGGGTTGCGGCGCTCATCTCGCTTTACTGGCCGAGGGAGCCGGCGTACAGCTTCCGGGTCATGTGGCCAGCATGACTAAGCCGCTTCTGGCGAACCAGAGCAGCGCACGGAGACGCCGTTTACCTTCCCGCCAAAGCGGTACCTATTGATCTACTTGCACTTTGAGGTGCTTTCAAACTGCTAGGTTGGCAGGAGCAGGGACTGAGCAACAGGAGCTCACTTCGTTGTGGGGATTCGAACCGCCGACCTTCTGATCGGCAAGTCCTAGGCTCTGTGGTTTAACCCACAGCGCCACCCGTGTCCCCCAGGCTCCATATAGATGATGACGGTAATTTAACTTATTTATTAATATTAATTTATTAACCCAGGCTTGCAGCAGGGTTTCTCACAGCGGAAGGGAAGAGAGGAAATGGAGAAACTTGGAGGCAGGGCTGGGCTTAAGGAGACAGTGGCAAGTTAATATAACAGAACAGTTAGTGCATAAGATGGGAAGCCTGTGGCCTTCTAGATGTTGCTGGGCTACACCTCCCATCATCCCTTAACATCAGCAATGCCAGCTGGGGCAGATGGGACTTGTAGTCCAACAACATCTGGGTGGCTGCAGGTTCTTATTCCTTGTTTTGGAGGATGAAATGGAAAATGCATTATTTTCCCTCGTAAATCCACTTAATGAAATGATGAGTGCACCTTTTGCCTTGCAAATAGATGCTTCCGATTGTGAGGCTTTACGAGATGATCAATAAACTGTCTGTGCAGTTCTACAAGTCAACGCAGAAGCCCAAGAAGCTCAGCCATTTCTAATACCATGGAACAAGCTGATCTGCACACCTGGAGGTTACTCAGCAGTATAATGTGAGACCTGCACTTTTATTTCCAGATGAGGCCGCCTATGAAGGGTAAGATCCTATGGAGCACCAGGCAAGGTCTGGAGGACCAGGCTAGAGTACGAAACAACTCACAGCAAGCAGCAAGGTGCAGCTGCACGGAAACAGAAACTGAACTCCGATAGGGATGTCTCAAAAGTAAGTGGTCACCTTTTGTTGAATACTTGTGACCAGGACTGGGGCAAGCACAGTCCTGTACAGCCTACTACAAACTGGACTTGCCTTGCCTTGATTCTGCAATCTGCCACCACAGACCACTTCCCCTGCCCCAAGCCAGCAAGCTTACCTTATGGGCAGGGGAAGGCAGAGAAAATGACAGGTGTTTCCAGCCCCCTAAGCAAGCTCTTTCTCATCAGGCACTGGGTTTGGGATTACAACTTCCACAATCCCTGGAGGAAACGTTATGCTCTCCGTGCCATCTTGCCAAAACCAATAGTGGAAGCTCTTTGGAGAACTACATCTCCCAGCAACTTCTGGGCTTTCTACTCTGAGAGTCCATTACCCAGCATGTCAGAGAAAAAAGCATGGAGAAAGAAGGAAAGAAGGGGGTAAGTTCCCTCTGATCTTTTCCCTACATGCCTGTATCCTCTTACAGGAACTGCAGTAAGACAGGGTTCCCACTCGCAATGAGGTTTCTAAGTTCATCCAACTGAGTGCAGATAGAAACCTTCCCTGGACCTTCATGGTAAACACACAAAATCTGTAGAGCAGCCCTGGCCCTATCAAGAGATGTGACTGGCTGAAATTCCTACTGAAGGATGATGTTCCATGTAAAGAGTTCCTTGCATATAGTGTTCAACTGTAATTTCATTTTTCATGCACCTGAAGTGAAGGTTTGTTGGTGTGGTTACTTCCACCACTGGACTCACCGACGAACCTCTGTGTTTCTCTCTTTCCCCAGTGCATCAGATGACCTAAAACTCTAGTAGGTCACTGTATCTACTGAGGAATATCTGTGCACCATTTACACCAGAAGCTGAACTTTTTTTAACGTCAATACACCCTTGTTTTTCATGTGGTCCCACTGGGCTAACATAGTCTGGCATTTCATAACCTCTGTTGAAAATAATACACAAGATTCTTGTACAGTTTCATCACCATAGCTGAACACTTGTGGCCTTATGTGACAAATCTTGCAACAACAAAAGTTAACACCATGCCCATTTCGTTCCTGAAAAGAGGGCATAGTAGCGAGAAGGTTGAAGCAAGTTTAGCGAGAAAAAGAATGACATATTTGGGGAATTACACCCTATAGGGCACCCACACCTCATGCAGCATTCATCTCTAATCAATTACAACATAAAGGTCGTTATTTCCCATATATTGTTTTTATTTCCATCTAAATATCAATGCCATATCAACTGTAACTCTGAAAACCCTCATTTAATTTCAGCTTGCTCACAGTTATGAAAATTCAGGTAATGTCTTCCTGCTACTAATTGTATTTGAGAAAGTGTTATTAATTTCATATATCAAGTTCGCAGTGGCCATCTGTTCCCTACGAACTGCTGTGCCTCCCTCCATCTGCCCTGTTTTTCTTCTGCTAATCGGGTGGCAAGGGCTCAGATGATCAGGAAGTTTCACTCTGACTTCGGATTTGTCACTCAGCGTCAAGCCAGCTGTGCATTTTTAACAGACTCTTAAAAAAAGAAGATGGGTGGCACGGAATTTCAATTTTATTGTCTAATTATTATTTAGAAAAACAACAACAATGAGAAAACTCCTGGCTTATTTCAAAAACCATTTATATATGTAAAAATCCTGGCAGATTATATTTTTCTCCTTGGTAAAATATTCTTTCCTGGCACTAATTTAGTTGCAATGTATTGCAATGCTCCCAAAAACTGGCAAGAACACATGGCCATAAAGTTTTATAAAGGTTTCTAGAAGGTGGAGAAAGAAGAACAATCTGTGAGCTCCCTAGCAGGACAGCCCCCATTTAATAAGTTATCTCAGGACCAATCTTTAAGGCTGCATTTTTGAGCTTTAAGTAATTGCACTGAGTTGAATATATATGAATGTAGTGAAATGCTAATGCTACCATGTACCATGAATGCGCTCCCTGCTGGACTGTGTGCTGTGCACAGTGTGCCTTCAAGTCCCATGCTATAAATCACAGTTTGGTAAGAAAGTAACTCGGGTTTAATATATGCTGAGTGGATGGAGTTTGTAAGTGGGGTTTGTAAGTGGTTCAAGTTTCAGGTAGCTGAGTCAGCTCAACTGACCTCCACAACTCTCATAGTGCTCATGCTGGCCTCAAATGGATCCTCCCGTTGGTCACATGGTAGACTAGGGGGATTATGGGAATAGCACAGTCCACAGAGAAGAAAGATGCGTAAAATCCTACACGGTGTGTGGACCATCTCCCTTGCCACTGCTTCTCACAGTTTCTCATCTGTACTACAGGTTAACTCGGACATTACAAAACAAGATTTCCACTGAAGATATGAAAACAAATCTTGCTTTCTTGATAGTATGAATCACAGGTATTCATACCACAGAGAATTATGGTTGGATCTGGGTCACTGTGGTCTATACATTCCTGAGGCTTTTACTAAGCATGCGATAAGGTTCTACAAGTTCAGTCTTGTAAATGAATGGCAGCGGCTCATTAAAGCCCAGATCGAAGAAGAGGCAAATTCAACAACCCCTCTGCCCTAATTCCTCTCCAGCTCAGATTAAAATCTGGGCCAAAGAAGAACTCCTGGTATCTACCCAACCCCTGCCAGCCCTCATAGGCTCTACTCCACCGGTGCCACACACACACACACCCTGCCACAAAACACAGTCCATATTCCCTTAACTTACATGCAGCAAATAAGAAAAGCCCCCTGAAGTCAAAATGAGTATCTTCTATCCCCACAAAGTGAATGTATAAGTACAGCTTCCTTTGTATAAGGACCCTAGGAAGAAATGCAAAACCTCAAAGAGTGGGGTGACTGTGGGTATTCATGAATGTTGTCATTTACCATGATATTGACTTGGGAAAACTAGAGTACTATTCAGCAGTAACTGTGCTAACATTCAACCATCAAATGAATAAGAGCTGTGCATGAACACAGTTGAGGAGGGATCAATCTAGGTGAACAGTAACCCAAAGAATTAATCTGAATAATTGAGAGATTTACAAAAATTAAGAATTTTATTATAGCAATGCAAATGGCAGTGCATTTTGCTGAGAAATCTCTCTCTGTGTGTCACATATTGGGTTATAATTTATGTAAAGTAGAATGTGTTTTCCCTTCTCTCTCCTTTTTTTGTTTTTTTGTAAAGTAGAGCTTGGTAAACACACATAAGCAAAAGCATATGACCTAATTAAGAAACTATTCTTTGGATGGTCTGGAATAAATAATGCCATTCTAATCTATGCATGTTTAATTGGCTGCTGTTTTCAGACTGCTCTTGAAAGGGTTCCTGGACTTGACTGACCCCGTATTGATCTGTCCTTGAGGAACAGCTGAAATAAAGTTCTGGTACTATTTAAAATGATGCCTAGTGATTTCCCATCCACCAACCCAATTCTCTTCCTTTTTCTAAGTTCCAATAGGAGTACAAGAGGAATTTGATATCTGCAAATCCCACTATCTGCACCTCCAAACTACTGTACAGATGGAAACTTCATTATCACTGGTTTCCTCAGTTCCCCAAATATTTCTATGCAGTTCTCGGCTCATACACACACACACACACACAAGAACAATGCATCTTTTGAGAGTTTACATGTGGTTAAGGTTCTTACTTCTTGGTAAAACAACTCACCAAGAGGTCTCTATGTCTAAGCTTTCCCCCTATAAGTGTCCCTGCCCAATGTTTGGGTGTCAGAGGTGGGGCAGGGAGAAGCCATGTGAGCGCAAGCGTAAAGCCGGTGACATGGTACTGATGCTTTTGATAGTGTGGGCATAACAGTTTGAAGGCTGGTAGTAAAGCCTAGTACTGCTTACCAGTAGCAGCTGGTGGGCTAACGTGGGGTGGGGTGGGATTGCTTCCCTGGCTTCCCAATGTGGAGGTCACTTCCAGTAACTGAGAGGGTGTGTGATGGTGAGCCTGGCACACTGCAGCTGCAGTGGTGGAGCCAATCCAATGCTCCTGGCATTGCACCTGTGCTGTGCTGACCTCCCTGCTGCCTTGTTCCCTCCTCTACTGGAAGTGACCTTTGCATTGAGAAGCCCCACCTAGCTTTGCCCCACAAGCCTTTACTGCTATGTACTACTATGTTATTCGCATGGTCTTGCATGGATTCTGGTGTATGTTGCATAGTGGTTCAGAAAATGAGCCACGCCATGAATTCAATGGGACTTAGATGCCCCACTTCCCCTCCATCCATGGTATGGGCAATAAAGGCACAAGTGCAAGCAGCTCAGATCCACCACCCTCACATGGATTCCTATTCATGGAGATGTATGTAAAGTGCTTTCAGTGTTACAGCCTTTTTCACTGGTTACATTGAATGTGTGGTCATTCATTCAGTGGAATGTCTGCATAGAAAAGTCATCCCCTTGTATCCATTCCTGGGCAACTGCAGGACATGGGCAAAAACAGCAGAGTCCACTCCATGCAGAGATCGGAGAAAAACACACACACAGGAAGCAGAGTTCTTCAATAAGAGTTTAACTGAGGCTTAAAAGCACACAGGAACTTACTAGATTCCCAGTAAGGCAAAAAAACTTTTCTTGATAGCGCATCCAGTTACAGAAGCAAAAAAACACAGTATATACAGAAACGAAAGTAAAGAGAGAAAGAAGGATAAGGAACTGAGCTCAGTGGCAGGTTTATATCACTCTTTCTCTGAGCACTGACCTTGATTTCTCACATGACTCAGAGAAAAACAACAGCTCTGGGCATGTTTTGTTGAGAAAGTACCAGAATGTTCTAGTAAGTTCTAGTAAATTCAGGAAAATTCTGCACCAACTTCCATGCAAAACTGCAAGCCCTGGGCCACATGGAGCACTTGGAGTCTCTCTATCTGGCCCTTAGGACTCTCCAAAGGCACATCCCCTCTACCCAGGCCACATCCACCCCCTGTTTCACACTCTCCATGAGTGTTTCATCTGGGCAGGAAGAGCCATTGAATTGTGACGTTGTCTCTTCTGTGTCTGGATGATGGATAGAGAGGGATGAGCTGGTTTTGATTCTGAGCTCACCCACCACTGGCAAGTGGCCCCCAGAAGGATAGGAACATAGGGGCTGAGTCAGACCAGTGGTTTGTCCAGTTCCTCATTGTTGACACTGATGAGCAGGCTCTCTTCAGGGTTTCAGGTGGGGTCTCTCCAAGCCCTTCATGGAGATACTGTAGACTGAACCTGCACTCTACAGCTGTCTGCACTTGGGGCTCTCTCTTTGATTGGATCTCAGTGAAGATCTACAGGAGGCTGTCTGTGATAAGTGTCTGGAAAATGCAGTGGCTAGAGGGATTTCTGGCACCTGCTTTGCAGAGCACATTACTCCAGTTTAGAATAGTCTGCACTTGACTCCAGTTCTTTTCCAGGTGTGATTCAAAGTGCCAATTATTACCTGCAGAGCCCTAGATGGTTTTTGGAACTGGATATC